AGGTAGTTCGCCCCCAGGCAGTTCGCCACCAGGGAGCACCACCAGGCAGTTCACCACCAAGCAGTTCGCCACCCGACAGTTCGTCACCAAGTAGCTCTCCACCAGGGAGCTCGCCACTGGGTAGTTCGCCACCAAGCAGTTCTCCCCTGGGGAGTTCGCCACCAAGTAGCTCATCACCAAGGCATGTCACCACCGGGTTAAACAACAAGGTACTTAGCCAAAAATTTATACATCACAAAAAATGGTACGTGACCAAAAACGGTTACATCAGTGGGGAAATCGGATGARTTCGRATCTCCTACACAAGGTTCAAAATATTAATATGTATCGTATAGTATCGAGACCCTCAAACACCTCCTGTAGGATGTATCGAGAAACCCCTTATACGTATTGAAATTTTGAATCTCAGCCACAACAACCCTATTCACATCTATCTACATCTCTCTACAATTATATATCGAAAACATCTCCCACATTTGCAAATTTACATCTGCACCCCATTCACCCCATAAATTCCCTACAGCACATCCTAATCATGTATCTCCAAGTGAGATGTGCATATGGGGCATTTGTGAGACGCTATTCATGGGGAATTGTTTTCAATAGCAGTAGTGAGATGTGGGTAGGACTCTTGTGGATAAGAGAGATCTGAATTCAAATCGCACGGCTGAAAAAAAAGGATGTGAGAAATGGGGGGAAGAGCAAGATGCACATGAAGTTGACTGTACCAAGGTTTGATCCCACGTGAATCCGTCACTCAGACCATTAAAGTCGTGAAAGGCGTGAACCTTTTTATAGGACACGCGGGGCTGAGATTCTAACCATTGAAATAGGTGCCATCACCGCCATGCATCAGGCATCTCCTACTTTCTTGTCCTACTCAGTTTACACTCGAATATCCCAACGTGCAGACGACGCAGTCTTTCCCAAGATATCGAACCGGGCCCCCACCTACATCGAGTGATGTAATGGGCTTCCGTTCTTAGGCCCACGTGTCAGTCTATTTCACGCAGATCCCGCCTCCCACAACCGCCCTCCTTCCCTCCTCCATCTCCTTTATCTTTTCGGAATAATAGCAGCCTCCCTACCGTCTGTCATTATCACTCCTTTCTGCGATAGCTAGAATATAATATCCTCCACGTGTCCATGTTTTATTGGCTATATTTATCTCTTATGATATCATGCCGGTCTCGTGGAGGTCCATCCACGATCCACCACCATCCCCACCTAAGCCCATGGGGCCACTCAGATTCGCCCCTCTATTATATAAAATAATAAATATCGTTTCCTCTCCGCACATACCAAAATATCGTTTGGCTTTGGAAGTTTTATAATGTAAATTAAATTTTTTATTCTTCTGGATTCCAATCCAACGGTGTACATTTCGTATTACGTGTCATTCTTGTCAATTCAATCAAGGAAAAATCGTCAAGTGGGAACGAGGACTCTAGGAGTCACACAACGCTGGTCGCTGACACGCACACGGGGGTTCATGTTCCCAATTCTCATTTGTGGCCAGCGTTTTTGTGGTCAGGAGATCCAAACTCAGAAAGAAACGTCCCTTCTCTTTCAACGAGGGCAGTGTTTGGCATTGATGCCATTGCTTCGTAAAGCGGTGATACATCAGCGTTACATTAAAAAATCGGTGCTTCAGAAAATAATAACATATTTAGAATGGTCTTCTAAATTATGCCTTAGAAATTGAAAAGGCATAGTTTGAGAAAATATTGAATTTATCATTTTTTCAATTTAGAATTCATTATTACCGAGGATATAATGTGGCAGGGACATGGACTTCCTATAATAGATATCGGTGCTGAAAACAGATATGGAGCACTGGTGATATGGAGCACTGGTGCCAAACAGAAGGTATTATGGTTATCCCAAATAACATCTTACATGGCAGCAATGTTTTTAAATAAAACAATACATTTTTTGGGGAGAGAATGAATGGTACCCCTAGTGTCCGAATTTATAGGTTTAAAGTACATTTGGGGTAGGTACTAGCTTAGAATTGACACCAATTCATGGATGGGTATAAATGAATAAAGTATGATTTTTGGACATTTTGAATGTTTATAACTGTACGGTGAGAATCAGATTTCTGCATTAGGTGTATCTATATTTTTCATTTTTTTTTCAGAAAACCATACTACCAATCCACATATATACAACACCGTTTTCTCACAGCATCGATGCCAAACATATACGAGATGTGTGCGAACTAGTTTTTCTCAACGTCTATCATGCCATAAACCTCTGCCTCTATGACAAATTCTGATGATGAATCACCATTAGATGGGGTGTCGGTGGGTGAAGGTTGTAGTTGCAGAGGCCCGACACGTAATGAAGAGTTTTTAAGGTCTCTTTTAATGAAGGGCTGGTTACGTGTTCGTTCTTGAGTGCTTAGAAGTTAAAACGTTTTAATGGAAGAAAGAGAGAAAACGCCTGAGTGCAGTGAGTTTGGGAGAAGAGGGTCTCTCTATTCTCTTCCGATTGGTAGCAGTGTGTATAGAAAACGTGTGTGGAAAAATAATCATTTATCAAAAAGGGGGATAAATAAAAAAAGGTTAGGAAAAGAAGATTAAAATAAATTTTGATGCTTCTATTATGCTGTGTTTGGTTTGAAGGAAAAAGTAGGGAAAGAAAAGAAAAGATAAGGAAATCTCTACAAATCTTGTATGTGTTTTCCTACCTTTTCCTTCAAACCAAACATAACAGGTAAATGTAAATGGCATTAGATAGGAATTGTGATCTGCTCCTTCCACACCAATTTTACAGCCACATCCCACCATGTAATGGAAATATTTCCAATAAATAATAATATATAAGTACGAGAGATGCTCCTGATGTAAGGCTGGTATATGTTGTGAGGAGTGCTCTATGAAGAACAGATTCAGACTCCTTAGATGGGTGCATAGCTAGGGATTTTAAAAGAAAAGGCTTTGATGTAACAGTAATCCACATCTGATAAGGATTGCCATGTCAACCAAGTTGAGAACTGACATGTGGCAGAGTGAGAAAGACATGTCTAGGCGGAATAGTTGTGATGTGGTGCCCTTTAAACCTAAGAGAACACCCTACCAAGTGTCCCGAATGTAGTGCGACGTAAGGCAAATGTCAATCACTCCAGGAGTTCAAATCAGCCCCCCACAACGTCCCACAACACATCCCCGCCGTGTATTGGGAACATCTCCCGATGATAATATTCGGAATGATGATATCATCATCAGGAGATGTTCCCCATACAAGGCGGGGGTGTGTTGTGGGACATTGTGGGGGGCTATTCGGTCTCTGACTCCAGACCAACTACCAAGTTAGTGGAATGGTTTTTGAGTGTCCTTGTTTTGCTTCTAGATGTTGATGTGTGTCCCATGAATGAGGAGCACAAGGGCATGCCTCCCAAGGTGAGACTCTCTACACACTCCTACTATATAAAGAACCCTAGCTTTCTCACCACCAACATGCCTCTCACCTTTATTGACTTGAGCATTGAAGTGTTCCTCCCTAGAAATTCACCTCAAGGCCTTTGAGTGCTTGTGCTCATAGGTCATCGAGTTCAATTCAAAATTCGTTGAACTCATCACTTCAAGCCTCTTCAGCTCGCCCAACTTAACTCAAACAATGATCTAGTTGCGAAGGAAATCAAGTAGTAAATTGGCTTGTTCTTGACAACAAAATTGAGGATAAGTCCCTAAACTTGAATAACAATTTCCCATATTGGCTCCCCCACCCCTAATTTCTAGGTACCACTCCATCCTCATCCCTGGTCTCCATTGAGGAGAAAAATGAACCTCTATCTTCCACGATGGAGATGGATCCCCATTGAGGTCTCTTTATATTTTTATGGAAATCTCCACTTTAGTACCCCTGAACTTTAGGGGCAGTGTCAAGTTAGTATTGGAACTTTCAAACATGTCACCGTAATACCTAAACTTTTAAAAAGTGTCAAGTTGGTCACTGTTGTTAATTGACAGTCAATTATCCGTTGAAAATGTCAACACTATCATTCAAAAGAAGACACTGTTCATTATCTTTTACCTTGAGACTGAACCCGTTATCTTCAAAGAAAAAGAGAGAAAAAACATGAAATATGATAGAGAGAAACAATAATTGAAAGCAAATAAATAACTAGACAAGAATGTGTTTCAGATCTAAAGGTAGAAGACACTGACTTAAATTAGTCTAGAATTTCAAACACCTCAACCAGTTCAGTCTCAAGGTAGAAAGAAGACAATGAACAATATATTCTTTTGAAGGGTAGTTTTGACATTTTCAATAAATAATAGACGGTCAATTAAGAGTGACATACTTGAAAGTTCCAATACTAACTTGACACTATCCCCAAAGTTCAAGGTACTGAAGTGGAATTTTTCCATATTTTTAATCAAAAGTTTATTTTAGACAAAAAAATTACTTAAAAGAAAGAAAAATAAAATCATTGATCTAAATTGGTTTAAGCACTTAACTGACATGATCCGGAGGCTTGAGAAAATTGCCATCCCTATTTAAAAAAAAAAAACTGAAACCGGTTTATCCATGACCGGTTCATTAGGACTCGGACCGCTCTACCAACCCAACCCTCTTGTAATTGAATTCGGATTAGATGATGAACGCCTTGGCTGTTCAGCAGGCTATGGAACCAATGATGAGATTCCACACCAGTAATAAATTCATTGGCTCCACTGTGAAAGATGCGGGCCCATGTATTTTATTACTGGCGTATAACCTTATCATCGGTTCCACAGCGTGCTTAACAGCCAAAATGTTCAGCTAAACATGCTCCCATTAATTAGGTTTTTTCTTACAGAATCACGTGGCCAAAGACTATTAGATTGTCGAAGAACACACGCGACTCAGCGGTTATCCAACTGTTGCCACACTTTTATCACCCGAGAAAATGAAATCTCTCGAGAAGAAAACTCAACTAATAACTGTCAAAATCTCACCTGATTTCAACGTAATCTCTCTCTCCTTCGTCGTCCTTCAATAAATGTTTGGACGGATTCGTGCCTGCTTTTCCCACCAGTTTTCCGAATTTCCGCCACACGTCTGACACCTCTCTCTCCCTCCCTCTCACAGTCTCACCTCCCTCTCTATCTCTCTCGTCATATCTTTAATATGAAATCTTTCTCTGAAGTATCTTAATCTCATGCCAAGGTCGTTGTTAATTCCATCATTCCATGCATGTGTTAATCTGCACATCTTCTGAGGTCATAGAAGATGATGGAGTCATGGTGGTTGGTGAATCACACGATAAGGTCGATTGATCGAAGTAAGCTCGCTTTTTCGACTAATCTTACTTCCGTTTTATTGGGTTGTTGTGAATGTCGTGTAGATTTAAGTTCCATAGCGAGAGGTTAGTTGATGAGGTCAATTCTTTTGGTTTTCATATTAGTGTTTACTCACAAAATTTGTACGGATTTTGAATTTTGCATTTGTTTTTGTTAAAATTGTGTGGTTTCGGAGCAGTTTTTCATTGTTCCACAGTGAGATTCCTGTCAAAGATTGAGCAAATCTCCTTTTTGTTTGTTTTCTTGGAGGATTTGCAGGTTTTGGCTCAAGCCGTGCTGGTTTAACTGAAATTCCCTTGAAATTTCTTTTGCTTTTGTTTTCACATTTTCGAGTTAAATATACGGTGGGAGATACTGTTATTAGAAAATTAAGTGATCGTGGAGAGGTCGAGTCTGACGAGATTCCTCCAGTCTTCAACTTGTTGCTTTTTTTTATCTGAAAGATTCGAGGTTTCAGAGGTTCTTAGAACCTCATCCGTTTCTGTTGAAATTGAGTCAGATTTAAACAATAAACAAATGTTCTGTTTGCAGCCTTGCTTACTGTTGTTAATGGCATGGGTTAGTTCTATATCATGTATTACATGCGAAAGGTTGGGAGAATCGTTCTGAAAAGTTGGAATATTTAAAGAAAGAAACGTCGGATCATTCCATTTGTTGTTGGAGGTATTCCATGTGAAATGTTCGACGGGATGCAACTCTGGCGTCTAGATTTAATTTTTTAATCTTCTTCACCACGTCTAGCATTTTTTTTTTTTTTTCTCAAAGCCTGTTTCTTTTAGAGTAAGTCCCTGTAAAGCTTGATATCTTGTAATGAAGGTGAAACTTTCTGGAGTTAATTCCTTGGAAAGTTTAGTACTTTCCTTGTATTGATTTGCAGATTTTAGATTTAATCATATTCCTTCATTTATTATCCACCTGTTACTTGTATGCAGACATTCTGGGTTTATACTTCTTTGTGAAGAAATTTTCTTTATGTTGTAAAGGCAGGAATCCTAGTGTTCATACCACAAGCTAAGCTAGCTATAAATCTTTGAATTGTGGGCAACTTGGCAAGGCATCAAAAGAATTTTCTTGTTTTGATCCTCTTCCTATTTGAACCTGTTGGCTTTGTTTTATGCTTTGATCTTGCTTTAAATTCCTATGGGACCATATGTATTGGCTAAAGTTGGAAATTATTTCCTTCTGGGATAATCTAGGGTTCTCTCAAATCTATTAGTCTATATTCTTTTATATATTTTGCAATCGTGAATTTCCTTGTTTGTAACAATTTGGTGGAGTCAAAAAAGTGCTGCGTTTTATGGGAGGCTTTTTAAGCTAATTTCTGTTTCCTTCTTTTCTTTCTGTATTCAGGAACAACTGAATATTGATTTGGTATAAGCTTCTATAATTGATGGCACAGACAGATTTTGATTCTTCCTGGGCAACCACAACCGGTGAGTTCTTCAAGGATTCATTCATTCTACAGGGTCAAGAAGGAAATCCAGCTGACATTTTACCTGTGCTGGAAGTTTCCACATCATCATTATGCCAAAAGAGTAACATCCCAAAGCCACCTCCATTCCCTCGTGCAAGTTTTGGCAGAGTCAACTTCCCCAAAAGGGTCAAAGGTTGCAGTTATGTTTCAAAGGAAACTAAAGATATGTGGGAAAATCTCTTTAAGGAAGCATATGGAGCAGATGTCCATGTTCTGACTGAGGTCAAGGCCATAATTCCTGCTCATTCAAATGTTCTGGTGAGTTAACTGAGTTCTTGTGGTTTCTGGTAAATTTATCTTATCCTAGTTTTCATCCTAGATAATTGTTTCTCTAGTGTTAGCTTGGATTTTAACTGAAAAACTCACTAGCAAGTATGGGAATTGCTCATGCAATTGACTGACCTTTGTTTCTTTGGAATGGTGATGGTGATGGATTTTGAGAGTATATGATGTAACTTTCCCTTGGAAGGATTGATTTTTGTTGACAAGGGGGAAAAGAAAAGATGCATTATCATCAACTGTGATAGTCAAGTTATATTATTTTGAGGCTTTTTCGTTCTGAATTCAGATCAGTTGAGTTGCCATGAAATTCATGGACTTGCATGAACAACTGACTGGGTTGATGATCACATTTTTGGCTTTTATTTCACCTGCATTTTTTTTGACGTCCTTTCACCTGCATATTGAACTTTGAAATTGCTCCCTGCTTAAACAAATTGGGGAATCTTATAAAGATCCTCCGTGCAAACAAATATATTTTCAGAAGAGTTCTCAACCAGCAAATCTGATTGACATTAGCTTCTGTGTTACATGGGCACATCTGAAAAATATGGACTTGATTTAGGTGTAAATAGGGATGTAAAAGATCCAATGGTATTGATTAAGTTGTGAGCCTCTGCTATGGCTTTTTCTTGCTTCAGCTACATCATGTGGTTTTGCCCCATAACCTCCTCTAATTCCCATACTCGGTGCAATTTACATATGCTCTATCTTTCCTCATGTTCTGCCCTGGTTCATAGCAACAAAATTCAGATGAAATTTGAATCATTATAGCTTCTCAGAATCTTATTATGGTGTTCTGAACATGAATAAAAAGGGATACTATAGAAACAGGAATTTATGAATACAAAAACAACTTTTAATTATGCTATTTTTTCTTTGGGTAGGGTATGGCATCACCAGTTCTGAGAAACCTTTTGCAGCAAGCTAAAGTTAAGGATGGTGTTCAATATATCAAGATTCCAGGGGTACCTTCTGAAGCTGTTTATGCATTTATCCGCTTTCTGTACTCCTCCTGGTACACCTAAGTTCCATATCCTCTCATCATCTAAATGAATATGTTCTTGATGCTCATGCATAATAGAAACTAATCTAATATCTTTAAGAGCTTTTCCTTCCATTGTCATTACTAACATATTCTTGTTAATTTTAGTTTATATTCTTGATAATGCAGTGGACTTTAAGTCCCTCACCTACAATAGTCTTTAATCTTTAAAATATAAAAAATAAAAAACTGTTATTCCCATCTTTCATCCATAAAGACCAACTAAATGATCAGGTACTCCTTAAATTTAGCATTAAAGGCAAGAGTTTATAGGAGTTGAGATGGATGAAAATATGAAAGTTGAATTTATTCTTGATCTTCCATGCTAGTGTAAAACCTAGGTTCTAATAATCCATGCTTTTAGAGTTTCTAGACAATCTAAATTTTTGGGTTGTATATACATTCTGTCTTAATTTAGACTTCATATGTGCATCTCAATGCTGTTCATCTGCAAGTATAAACTTACATTTACAACTTTGACATTAGGGTTGCAAATATGGTAACTGATTTGAAAATTTTCTATTTTCCACTGATTTTGGCCTTGCCCCTTCAAAATGAAAGAAAACTCAAGCCATGCCTGCCAAAGTTGCACATTTAATTTAACATATATTTGCAGTTTAAGAATCAGGATTCACTATATTCCATCCCTAGTACTATCACTAAGGCTACACCTAACATAGAAGGGAGTAGATCCAACAGACAGTCCAGTTGGGGTCATTAATATAAGCATAATTAGCCTAACTGCCTTCTTTACATGGATATTAGTTCTTAAAAAGCTTGAGATATGAATGAATGTCTTTAAGTATAGATAAATAAGGTGGTATGCAAATAAAGTTTTGATTGTTACCGACCAAAAGTAATAATCCTCTTACCTTTTTCTGTCATTTAAAACATCAGATTTCACCTTAGTATCAACTTTCGACTTCCCAGTCAACATAGCTTAGGGAAATTAACTTAGTGCATAATGTATGCAGTCCATTTTACATGAAATCATTGAAATCTGAGTATAAATCATTCTTTAAGAGTTAACTACATGTCCTTTTATTTAGATGATTTTTTTATCGTCAACCATATTCTTAACTCAAGTTCCTTAAGTTTTCTTGTATTTGATTTCCCACACAGCTATGAGCAGGAGGAGATGAAGAAGTTTGTTCTCCACTTGCTGGTTTTATCTCACTCCTTCTCACTTCCATCACTGAAAAGAGTTTGCATAAATCTATTGGAGCAGGCATGGCTAACCACAGAAAATGCAATTGATGTGCTTCAATTAGCAAGGAAATGTGATGCACCCCGACTTTCCCTCATTTGTGTTCGTCTAATTGTGAAGAACTTTAAGACCATTTCTGCAACTGAAGGATGGAAAGTGATGAAGCGAACTGATCCTGCACTTGAGCAGGAACTTCTTGAAGCAGTTGTTGAGGCAGATTCTGTAAGTCAGATGTCATTATTTGTCCAGTCTCCACAGAAATTTCTGTAGCTTCTGTTATCATGTTTCAGGGGCACACCCTTCTCAGACTAATCTAAGTCATTTAAGTGATTAGAAACATAATATAACATTATGGAAATTCCTTCTTAACGCATGGCTAGCAAGAGGATTCATATACTTGGTTGGGACCATAAAATGGGAATTTCCTGTGCACACTCATCGCTAAAATTTTCTGCCTATAGAACTAAGCTTAGGAATTTCAGTGACTATCTTCTTCATCATTTGTTCATTTAATCTTTATTTTCTGTTCTTAATTTGGATTTGCAGAAACTACACCTTCCTAAAATCAAAATTCACTCAGTCTTGATCTTGCATTTGCACTTCAGCTTGCTAAAATCAAAGATCTTCATTGTTCTTCTACGACCTTTTGTTGGTTCTTATTTCACTCATTTTTGGTACAGAAAAAACAGGAGAGGTTGAAGAAGATAGAAGAGAAGAAGATGTACCTGCAACTGAATCAAGCCATGGAGGCACTTCTGCACATATGCAAAGATGGATGTAGGACTATTGGGCCCCGTGACAAGGTCCTGAAAGGAAGCCAAGTAGCCTGTGGATTTCCAGCTTGCAAGGGGGTTGAGACATTGGTCCGGCACTTCTCCAGTTGCAAGATTCGTGTGCCTGGTGGATGCATTCACTGCAAGCGCATGTGGCAGCTTCTTGAACTGCATTCTCGAATATGCAATCAACCAGATTTTTGCAAGGTTCCTCTTTGTAGGTAAGCAAGCAACTCCTCTGGGGCATTTTAACATTTCCATTGTAGAATATGTGAAAAGAAGTCAAGTTCACAAAAATAACAAAAAATAATCAACTTTAAAGAGAAGTAAAGAGTTGATGGTTGTTCATTTTGACCATTGCTCACCGTTGCAACTGTTTTTTAGCCAGTCACACCTATAGAGTACAGATAGTGGTTGCCATAACAACGGGCTCCATTTTCAACTCTTCATTACTGTGTTTTACATTCTATTATTAAGTGCCTTGCTACCATTTACAATAAGTTATTTTTCTATCCTTCACCTTGTGTTTTAGCCCATCCTATTTCATAAATTATTAGGTAGTTCTCTGTTCATGGATGGTATTTTTCCTTGTTGTAACTTGTAAGAACATAACTCCTGATGAAGGCAGAAGACAAACTAGTCATGAAACTCGCAAGACATATATGGGTTAGTTCTCTCTCTCTCTCTCTCTCCCACTCTATATATATGAGTGAGAGAGAGTTATCTAGAATTTGGTTTACTAAACTTCCTTATGCTAGAGGGATCCTATTAGATACATGGGATAAAAATGGGCCATTGCCCAGTGATTTTCCCTCCCATCTGGGGTCTTGGGAAGGGTAGACAAGATATGGACCTCATCTAACCCAACCCTTGGCATTTTTTTACACAAAATCATAACTTTCAGGTTGGAACCTATTTTATCATGCTTGTACCTAGAAGTTGATGCATAGATATATGATTGAATTGGTTGGCTAAAAATATCCATGGAAGGATTAGCAGATTCACTTATAAGGTGAAGATTACAAGGACCCCCATTATTCAATATGTTACAATGCATATGTTGGTTGCAACAGAAAATTAACTAATATTACAAACACAATATGAGAAGTCCTTATAGCACTTGGAGTTTGAATGGGGAATAAATAATTTAGGGAAAATTCCTGATCAGTACCCTGTACTTTGGCTCGAGTGACAATTTGGTTCCTGAACTTTAAAATGCAACAATCCAGTACCCCAACTTTCAAAATGTAGCAATCCAGGACCCGAACTTTCAAAATGTGACAATCCAATACCTGCCGTTAATCAGTCTGTTAATCAGCCGTTAAGTGACATTTGAAAAGTCAAAAATGCCCTTTGAATGCCATCTAATTCTCTTTACCAACCATCCAAAGGTTGACAAAAAAACTGAACAGTCTCAAATCCTAGCCTCTTCTATTAAAAAAGTCGGTGACTGTTTAGAAGAATCTAGAATTTGGGACTGTTCATTTTATTGTCAATGTTTGGATGGCTGATGAAGAGAATTAGATGACATTCTTAGGGCATTTTTGACTTTTCAAATGTCACTTAACGGCTCATTAACGGACTGGTTAATTGCAGGTACTGGATTGTCACATTTTGAAAGTTTGGGTACTGAATTGTCGCATTTTAAAGTTTGGGGATCAAATTGTCCCTTGAGCCAAAGCACAGGGTACTGATCAGGAATTTTCCCAATAATTTATTATGGCTTTAATTTGGAAGAAATTAATTTCATATTAAGTTATCTAACTTTGGTTATTAACAGTGGTAATATTTTCTTACGTAAGCCACAAGATGTGGTTCTAAATCACTGTTATGTGTTCTTAGCTGTTAATATGGTCCTTGTCAAAACCTTGAAGTAAGAGAAAGTTCATTTAACAAAAGTTGCCCCCAGGCCCCCCCACTAAGTTGTTATTTATAGATGAAACTTGGATTTTCCTACACCTTGGAAGCTAGCTCTGCTGTAACCCATCTGTGTGGCAGAAATCTATACTCATCAATTTCACCCATTAAAAAAGAATCGCATACTCAAATGTGACAAAAAAATTGCATGTTAGGATAGTGATTGCATCATCTAGCAAAGGCTTGGCCTATTCCATGGTTTGACTCCTACATGAAGTTTCGGATAATGAGAATGCTCTGAGTCGGTTCATTTTTGACCTTTGATATATTTTTTTTCTTAACTTTTAAGGCACACGGTATGCAGTTTTTCAATAGTCTTATGTTTCTGATGTAAATACCCTTTGTACAGTCCCTAGTGTACAGGGGCATCTCTTTATGCCTGTGAGTTTCCTTAATACAAATTCGTTACTCTACAGTTTTAAAAAACAAAATGTGGTGGTCACTGTTAATGCTCATTTCTTTCAGGCATTTCAAAGAAAAGATGCAGCACCAGAGCAAAAATGACGAGGCAAAGTGGAACCTATTGGTCAGCAAGGTGAAAGCAGCAAAAACCATGTCGAAGCCCTCATTGACTGGTCGGCCGGGGTTTTTGCAACCCAACCCATTTAGGCTTTAGACAGTCCATGTATATACAGAGACTGGATCCTGCATCTTGGAATTTCGCCATCAGTACCCAAAAAGCTGTATTATGCCAGTGACAGAAGGTGCTGCTGTTGAACTCACTTAAATTGATGATAGTAAATAGAATTAGTTTTCATAGAAATAAAACCCAAATGGAGGTATTGGGCTAGAACTTACTGAGCTACTCACAAACCATGTAACCACTAGCTTAAAGAGATAAGAAATGCCCAAATGGCATCACATATTGCAGGAGTTTTGAAGGTCTCAAACATCATTTGGGTCTTCTCCTTACGATTATCATTGGATTCAATGCCCCCCAGGAATTCCAATTTTATATCAAAATGATTTAGACTGTAGGATCCTGGAGGGCTGAAAGGCAACGGCGGTCTGAGAGCTCTGAAGATCTGAGCATTGGCTCGGGAGAGGTTCTTCAGGTGAGTCCCCACTCTAGTCTTTTTTTAATCTTCCCCCGCCCCTCCCCCGAGGATCCTTCAGAATTTTCTGTTTGTTAGGCAGTTATGCCAGATCAGCACAAGTTAGCAAGTTGCTTTTGTCAGATGATTATTACCAATGGCAGATGGTTAAACAAGTGATCTAGTTGTTATGCCAACTCAGCATTAGGGGAATTCATAAAGTACATGTGGCATCTTTGCTACTTCACCCCTGATTTCTTTTATGCCACCCAAATCATTTTTGGTTTGAATATAAGAACAAGTTATAAGAGCCCCTGCGATGCACAGGCTGGTGTTAAAAAGAATGATCATGTTTTATGGGGGAGTGATTACAGGTTTCCTAATAAAAAGGAAACTGAATTGGTTTGGTTGTGAGTAGCCCATGTTTTTTTATTTTTTATTTTTAAATAAAAAACCACAAAATTTTAATGAGGGTAAGGAAACAAGAGGGAATAGGCTGATGTGATAGTCGGTCTAAGTCCAACCCATGCATTTATTTTTAGGTTGGATGGGCTTTGTTAACTTTTTATTTTTAATCTTAAGTAAATCTAAATAATTAGCCTTATTTTTAGTAATTTTATTTTCATATTTAAATGGAACTTATTTATGATAATAAAGATAATTTAAATTTATGTAAGTTATATTTGGTTATAATTACTATAAATACTATTAAGGCCCCGTTTGGTTCATGGGAATAGAGGTCTGGAATCGGAATCAGAATCGGTTATTCCGATTCCAACTGTTTGGTTGGATGGAATCGGAATCCCATTTCCATTCCTACTGGGATGGCACTCCCCCATTTGAGGGAATGGTCATTCCCTGCCCCTCCCATGGAAATGAAATTTCATTCTTGCTGATTCTAATTCTTATTCTCATTCCTGTCTGAACTAAACATATTATGGGAATAAACCATTCCGATTCTGATTCCCAAGGATTTTAATTCCAATTTCAATTCCGAGTAAACCAAATGGGCCCTAATATTATAATATTATTAACACCCATGTAGGACATCATTTAACTTGCATCTAAGTATATATGATTCATTGCATGTATGCCAACTTTCCAATAAATGAGACTATAAATACTCTGAACTCATTAAAGCCAAAGAGCCACAAAAGTCACACAAAGAGAGCTTATGTAGCTTTAGCCCCAAACCCTACTGGGCCATCATGGTATAGGCTCGTAAACGGATCGGATTTTGTAAAATCTGAATCCGGTTGAATTACTGCAAACTTGCATCCGAATCTGATCGGATTTGAAGAGTTTGGATTCAAATTTAATCCAATTACACTTTTAATTTTTTAAAATATAAAAAAAAAACTTTTATATATAATTAATTAATGTAAATTTAACATTATATGTGATCAAACCTGTATTTTATAAAATAAACAAATAAAATCCTGGTATAATCCACGATACAGAGTAGCAATAGAGAAGAAGAATAAAAGAATCAAATTATGACTACTTCGATTGGCAATAGAGAAGAGTGGCAAAGACAGTTCTAGTCGAGAGATCCACCTACCACCCAAATATGACTACTTCGATTCATAAAAGAATCAAATTATATAAATGCCCTTAATTATGTGATTTATGATAGAAATAATAAGAACCATAAACATAAGAAGAAAAAAGACCAAAAAAGACCCTGTACAACACTAAAATTTAACGCTCCCCCTCAAGTTGGAGCGTATATATCATAAAGCTCTAATTTGTTAAAGAAATACTTCATACGTGCACCGTTTAAGCCTTTAGTGAAGAGGTTGGCTAGTTGATCTTCAAACTTCACAAATGAGATAATGATTTCTCCACTAACCACCTCTCTTACAAAGTGGCAATCTATTTCTATGTATTTAGTTCTTTCATGATATACAAGATTAGAGGAAATATGAATGGTTGTTTGGTTGTCACAAAACAACTTAATGGGAGTTGTTACCGGCATTCCCATTTCTTGTACCAATTGTTTTAGCCACACCAATCCGTACGTAGTATGGGCCATAGCTTTGTACTTGGCCTCAACACTAATTCAAGCCACCACATTGTAATTAACCTTATCCAATTAACATCTATATATCCTTTCAAGGAAAGTTCTCTCCCTTTCTTATACACCAATTCACACGTAATGTGAGTCATGACTCTGTACTAAGCCTTAGCGCTACTTCGAGTCGCCACATTTTGTTTCTTACTCTTCCAAGTAACCAAATTCCCTACCAAGAATGTGCAATAACCAATTGTTGATTTCCCATTTATAACTGATCTTGCCCAATTAGCATCTGTATATCCCTCCAAGGAAATTTCTCTCCCTTTCTTATACAACAACCCTTGACCTAGAGAATCTCAAGTAGCATAGTACTCTAATAATACCTTCCCAATGGGTTGTCCTTGGGTTCTGCATAAACTAGCTCAACAACCCAACACTTAAGGAAATTTGTAGCCTTGTGATGGCTAAATAAATCAGCTTCCCAACTATTCTCTTGTATCGTCTGGTATCATCTAGGGGCTCTCCCTCAATATCAGACATCTTGACATTTGGATCCATAATATCCACTGTTTTTTCCCTTAATAGACTAGTTTTCTTCCAACAGGTGAAGCACATACTTTCTTTGTGAGAGAAATTCCCCACTTTGACCTTGCTTATGCCGAGAAAATGCCTTAAGTGCCCCATCCTTAGTTTGGAACTAGTTTTTTAGGAACTGTTTGAGCTCTTTGATGCCATATTCATCACTCCTTATAATAATGTCATCTACATAGACTGTCAACACAATCTTGCTAGAGGTAGTAGCTCTACTAAACATTGAGTGATTAACCCTACGTTGTGTTCACTTAAACTGCTTTATCACACTACTAAATCTCCCAAACCAAGCCCTTGGAGATTGTTTCAACCCATAGATTTCTTTCTTTAGTTGACACACCTTCCCTTCCTTCCCCTAAGACAACAGCCAATCAAAATATGCAACTAGGAAAATAACCACATAGACTAAACCCATTTTACCTATGGGTGAAAATGTATCAATATAATCAACTCCATAGGTTTGTGTATATCCTTTGGCTACTAAATATGCTGTATATCTTTTTCACACTACCATTTGCACAATGCTTAACTATATAAGCCCACCAATAGCCAATTGCTTTCTTCCCAGGAGAAAGAGAAATAATGTCCCAAGTGTGATAAATTAAAGAGCATGAAATTCATCGTACATCGCCTACTTCCATTCTAAAGAGAGGATAACATCATGAAGAAACTTAGAAACTGATGTGGGCTAGCCAGGCCCAACCCATTACGAGATGGGAGGCCCAACCCATGCCTGACAACGCCAACCACAGCAAGGGGGAAGCCCTACTACCTTTGTATGGAGCCAACCACGGGGCGGTCAGACGTAACCGCCAGGGCCTGCCGCTTGACCTCGTACGACCCTCATATGGTGTGTTCATCTTCACCTACCTCTAGCCCACTCAAGTAAAAATAAGAGGCAACTCTCCCTTGACAGGGGGACTAGAACCCTGGATTCTGACATAGCTCTCTCATTTACTTTCCGCACCAACCTTGCTTCCTTAGCATTTACTCCTGGGGACCCGGTGCATCCGAGGACTATCACCAAGACCTCGTCTGCACCTCCTCCTACCTTACACCCCGTACTAACTTGAGCATCGGAGCCTCCAACTCGAGTCTCCACCCGAGGCCTCTAACACTTCTTGTTTTGCAGTACCTCGGATCTCCAGGAACCTCGCCACTGAGACTACGACCTACAGTCCTCGGCTTCTACGGTACATGGGAAGGAACACCTCGCCTTGGCCTACAGTCTTCGGCCTTGGCTTACCTCTTCTAAGACCTCAAATCCTTCGGCCTACCTTCGGAACTTGGAGAGCGAATTTACCATGTTTCCCCCGGCTAATTCGTGCGGCAACAATTGGTGCCGTCTATGGGAAGCATTGCTAAGACGACCCCCTTTTAAGGATAAAAATACTTTTATTTCAAGCCCTCCTAAGCTCGAAAACCATGGTGTGGAGAACTAGGAATAATAAGAACCTACTCACCTATGACCAGTTTCAGGCTGTCCTCGATCGTTTGGACCGCCTTACTCAACGCATGGAAGAAATTTGCCCCCAAGCAGGAGGTCCCTCTCGAGGCGACCGCCCCACTGGGGTGTTAGAGGATCAAGGCCGACGCGAACACATCGAACCCCCAGCCCTCGGCCAGGGCAACAACTTGCTGGCCGAGCCATCGGAGTCGGGCAATAACCACCCCCAAATTCACCACAAAGGAATATCCGTCCTCCCAGCCAAAGGGAAGAAGTGCCCGCTCAATCCGAAGACAGTCACCAGCCTTCGAAGCAGCACCACCGCCGCCAGAGGGAGGTCCCCAGGGACGATGATGGGCATTTTGGCCGCCCGAAGTTCGCTCCCGAGGCGAGAGCCAACGTCGCACCAACTAGGATGTTCTGAATGATCGTCGCGCCTGCAAAGGAGCACACGACATGGCCTCGGAGTACTTGGGAATATCCGAGCTGACACCCACCGAGTCTATGAAGACAAAAGCGGGGCCCACGTCCTTGCTGATCCAGGGCTTTCCGAGTTGCGAGCCGAGATTGGGGCCGTCAAGGGTGAGCTTCGCCAAGTTAAGGAGAGCCGAGCCGACGCCTCAACTAGCCATGGTAACTCCACTGGCCACATGGTCGCATTCACTACGGAAATCATTTCGGAGCCTCTCCCCCACACTTCAAGCCTCCTACTTTGGAGATGTACAATGGCTCCTCGGACCTTGACAACCACCTGGAGAGTTTTCAAGTGCTCATGATACTCTACGGGTATTCCGACGCCTTGACGTGCCAAACTTTCCAGGCCACCTTCAAGGGAGCAGCGCGTCGCTAGTTCTCCAGCCTCCCCATGAGGTCAATTAGTTTTTGGGAGCAGTTCACCAATATGTTTCTCACTCGCTTCATTAGCAGCAGGTGATGCCAAAGGAGCGTTGTCTCGCTCATGTCCATTAAACAGAAGACGGGCGAAATTTTGTGGTCTTACATCTACCGCTTTAAAAAAGAAAAGCTCGAGGTTAGGGACCTCGACCCCATGGTCTCAATGCATGCTGCCATCAGCGGACTCTGAGCTGGCTCCGCCCTCAAGTGTTTGGTCGCTAAGACCCCGCCAAAGACGAAGCTAGAATTCCTAAAAAAGGCCCAAAAGTACATTGTGGCCGAGGAGGCTTCTATCGGG